ACTTGAAACTGCGCTCCATAATACTTAAACAGGATACATGAAAGAAAATTTTCTGGTTCCTCTGTGGAAAAGTTTAAAAAACGTTTGAAAGCCGCACTGCCTTGATATGCACCAGTATCTATTTTTGTGGCAAGATTTATGAAGGCGACTGAAAAAGAATGTTTTTTTATGCTGATCAGAACAAAAAGTTTTACGGCCTTATACATGTTTTTCATTTACATGACGATGGAAGGATGTTCTGACTCACATGTGTTTACAGTTAAGGGATGAAACCTAGACTGAATGCAAACATGTCTTTTTGCGCATGACATTTAGTCTAATCCCTTACCTCTTATTCTATTAATCCTTAAAAATGCTGTGCTTAGAGGCTGTTTAAGTGCCAAATTTGCTACAGACGAATTCGAGCAATGCGAATGGGTATTCTCGCAGATTAATAAAAAGCACGCGGTACTTTTGCAATAACTTTCGAGATAAAGCCAGTTTAATGCAGATTGGCCGACTGAGTGTTCCAGCGTGCATTCTCGGCTTGCTACCGGTGTGCAATCCATCGACTGGTCTCTACTCGGGTGCTTGCCCTATGGAAAGCGCTTTCTTAAACGTTTGTTTTGCCCGTTCTTTAAATTTTATTACATTTTTATAACCAAATTCTGTATAGGATTTTGCCTGAAGCAAGAATTTAGTAAAAAATTTTCCAGGATATCAACCGTGAACAAGGATATGAAGGAAAGCACATATTTTCGATTTATAGCAAGACCGATCAGTGGGTTGGATATAGCGTCTGTTATAGGGTAAATTTCTTTCAAATTGTTTAAACGCTTAAATAAATGATCGCATTAGTTTCCTGCTATAAAATCTTTATTTTTACTGGAAAATTATTGCCGGTTGGCATGGTCCAGTGGGAAGTAAGCACCGTTGTAGTGCAAAAGAACTACAGCCCCGCCTCTGCAACTGGAAAAGCCATCTTTACGATTAGTTCATTTATTTCGATGGTAAATTGGTACTGGCATGTGTCGGAGTGTCAATCTCGCCATCAGCTTGCTTATGAGCAACCCTCGAAAGATGACATCAACAGTTTTGCCAGACGGTTTATGGAAGAAAATACGGAAGGAGTTTTGACTTTTGAATAAAATATCGGCGCTAAATCATCTCAGCCTCAAAAGATGCTTTTGGGCTAACATCGTGCAGTCGATTCATGTCATATAGTAGCTAATCAAGTTGCTGTTTTTCTGTTTCACGCAAATCCGGTGTTCGTTGCTAGTAATCTCTTAAACAGACTGGCGCTCACTTATTCATGCGCTTTCTGGGTACCGCGATTTCGCCAGCCGCCTTTTTTGCCCGTTTGACCAGACAGGCAAGATTTTTTTACTTCGCTGCATTTGTGCTATTTACTCTAGCTCTACGCACAGTAATAGCTTATTTTAAATTCTGAAATAAATGCACGTTTTTATGCGTGAAATATGAAAGCCTACACATTATCCCTTTCTGCATGCTTTTCTCGCTCCTAGTTTTTATGAAATTCCAGAGATTGCATAATTAGCAATTCTGAAGAATTTCCCCACTTTTTTTTATTTGAAATAACTTCAATTTAATAGTGCTAATAAATTGATGAGAAATACACTGTAATTTCCTCATGGTCTTAATGCACATTTTTTCAAGGAAATGCATATCCTTGTCAATCTGCAATTTTTCACGTGCAGGTAAAATTAATATGTATGATCATCTATCAGATGAAATCATAAATAAAAGATCTATGAAATATAACGAGTCACGTCCTTGTCAATCTGCATTTTTTTTTTCATGTGCAGGTAAAATTAATATGCTTGATCATCTATCAGATAAAATCACAAAAAAGAAAGATCTTTGAAATGTCATAACGAGTAAGCTGTAAAACTCTATCTATTTGCACACTTAAACCTGTTAATTGCGTATTCACATAAAATTTGCCATTAGTGGAGAGTGTAAACTTGGCGAATTGCCATATACCCAGCGCGCAGTAGTGCAGCGTGAAAACAGTCCGGACCGGAAATTACTAAAATACAGCATGGCCTGGCCCAGCGGAGGCTGAAATTTTCGAGGAATGTTCCCCGCCTACATATAACTTAAAAATTCCAAACCCAGTCCTTAGGTATGCTCCCAAGTCACGTGCGGCCCTGTGAAAATTTTGGCGGGGAAATTGCTAATTCGGGAACTAGAAAAGCTGTGAAAAGCAAATATGCGCTGAAATCTTATTGACCTGGATTCGGGGTGGAAAATTTTTATGGTAAAAAAATTAAAATGTGGGAGAAAGAAGAGAGGGGAAGATAATTAAGAGAACAGAACTATGGAGCTAAACGTGTGGCATAAAACAGTATATCATGCAAAAACTTGCACAATTATGAAAGCTAGAAGCTCATTCTACTATATGTTTAGCTAGTTCTATATAAAGAAAAACCAGCGGTTAAGAAAAACCGTCTGCTTCAGATAACCACACAAGTGCCGGGACAGCATGGTGAAAAAGTTTATGAAAACAAGAGTCACGATCAAACATTCCAGGACTCCTATGAAGTTCAGCGACAAATGGTACTCAGTCATAATGTAGTATAAGAATATTTCGTGTAGTTGATATTTTTGAATGTAATACGCTTGTTGCTACTAATTTTTGTTCGTTGTGTTCATCTGCAGTGTTTGGTCTGTGCGCTCAGCCATTATATTCCTTCTGTTTGTTGCCAAAATCACAACTATTAGAAATTTATTATAATTTTTTTCCGCAACTTGGAAAGAGATCCAAGGAGGGACATGGCGCCGGGCCTCATGCTAAAGATTCAGGATCACGGGGCGAGATAGCCAAATTCTCTACGTTTCACTCATTTTCTTCGATAGGTAATTGTTAATGGCACATGGTTAGATGTCGTCTGTTGCTTGCCCGAAAGAAGTTTGTAGATGGCTGCTGCTGGCATCTGCCTATTTCAGAATGTTGCCACTTTTTTGAGAAAGTGGATTATTTGGTATTTTGAAGTTTTTTTTCTAGAAGGTTTTAGCAAATAAAAATTTCGAATTATTTTCAGGATATGAAAAATTGTAAGATCCACAATTTTTTTACAGAATCGCTGCAAATTTTGCAGGCACTCAATATT